ATAACACTGTATGGTAGATGTAACAATACTTAGCTGTAACATTTCGAAAATCGAGCTCCCAGTTGGGCTCTGTAGGCTTCATCACTTATCTTTATGTATCCGTGCACTTGACATGCACATGCTCAGAATTACAATGACCACAGCCAGTGTCTTGGGAGCTGCCTCAATGGATCGACCACATAAACCCTACTTCACATTCACCATGACTTCAGCAACTAGCGGAGCAGAATCGATACTTAGAAGGTTTTACTGTGTTTATAGAACAGGGGTTACACATGCTTTGCTTTCTGAAGGGCTTCAACAAGCTTAAAGAGCAAAATTGGTTTAAAGTGTCATGACCCAGACATGACAACACAGTAATAGGAATTACAAAAAGTGCATTTACACAACAATTTCTCACAGTCAAGAGCCACACAAACACTTCCTGGGTGTTAATGTTTGTTCTTTCAGAGACAATGCTACTCCAATCATCTAAAAACTGATTGCGATGTCATAGATCAATTTACATGGCTTATTACCATTTGCACAAATGTCTTACCTGCATTACTGCAGCAGTTTAAAACAAGTGGGGATTAAAGACTGGACGAGTGCAGGCACTTGCATGTATGTATGATTATTCAACTTATCATTTTTATCACGTGAGGTGGTTTTAGCTTATAGCGGGTGCAAGTTTTTGAGATATGCCTCATTGCTTTTATTTATTTTTCAAGGACCCGGTGTGGCAGCTGAATCGAAGCAATCGGTCCATTTGCGCTTTTGCAACACAGCTGTGTCACCTCTTCTGGATGAAATGGAGCGATGTTTGGGAACCAGCTCATGCAGATAACTCAAGCTGCATTGCTCAATGCATGTGACATGCCTCACTCTCCATAAGCCTCCTCCATACGCACCGTCCCATTTTGGTGGTCTGCTAATATTTTCCTATTTCTCCCTTTGCCTGTCAATACCACCTCAGCATCCATCTGCATGCTCCAACTGAGGGCTGAAGATATTTGCTCATCACTCACCAAGATCGCTTATCTCATATCTGGGCAGAGTGATGAGGTTGCAGCCTTCAGACTCAAATTATAGAATGGAGCTTAGCCCAAGTTCAATCAGGAAGATTATCTTAAGGACTTACAAATTCACAATTCTCTCACAATTCTCTCTCCCTGCTTTTTCTAATTAGCTGACAGTGAGTGTTTTCAGTAATCTCAACCAGATTCTCATCCAACCAATTATGTCCTTGCTGCCAAACTTTAAATCTGTTCTCCTCTCCCTTGCTGTCAGTTGTAATTTCAGTGATTTGCTGTGTCCCTCTTCCAGCCCAATGACCTCTAGCCTTCATATCCACAGCCGTAGTTCTGTGCCTCAGCATCACTCCATCCCATCACAACCACCACCAGAGTCTAGACGCTGGGGGGTTGTCCTATTCTACACACAGCCTCAATCCCTTTCAATCATGATGACATCACTGGGGGTGTAGCTGTCAAAAGTCTAATTTATCTCCCATCACTTCCTCTTCTGTTGTGAACGGCAATAAAACATTAATTCAGCTGTCGATTGAGGTCTCCCCTGAACTGCTACTGTAATAAACATTTCATCTCAGTGGGGCAGATCACTTTCTTTGGAGGTCGTTGTTAAAGATAAAAGGCATGAAGACTGAAGTGCATTGACCTTCGCTGAGACATGTTTACCAACACATGCCAGCACCTCATACATAAGGATATGGACATGTTCATAAAGATGAGCCACACCTGAAGGTAAAGCCTTATATAGATCACAAAAAAATTAAGTATTTTTTCCTTCATATAAACTTCTTTAAAGTCAGTCAATGCAGAGGAATTCTCCCTCTTCATTAACAGAAAAAGGGTTTAATGATCATTACCTTAGGTCCAGGCGGACCTTGTGGACCCTGCAAAGTAAAAACAAAGCCAGTTTTGAACAGTAAAATTAATTGAAGTTGATTAGAAGTGTAGAAAGCCTCAAGACTTTATTTTGGTAAACATAATAATAAATTGTTTTAAGTTTGTTTCTTACTGGTTTTCCATCAATACCGTAGACCCCAGGGAGTCCGGGATGTCCATCATCTCCCTAGAAGAAGGTCAGAAACTCTGATGAATAAATAGATTTGTTTGAAATCAGAAGCAGTGGTGGAAAGTTCTCACCTGGAAAAAGTTTGGGATTTCTAAGCTCCACCAGCTCACTGTTGTCTCATCCAATCACAGCCTGACATGCTTGCCTTTACCCGATCAGGTACTGTGTCTCTAAGCTGTTACAGTACAGTGAAGTTTTGTGACCACCCCTCACTACCATAGCTGTGAAAACCTCTCAAATCAAACCCTTGGACCTTAAGTTTCCTGTTATGAAGACATTCCTTATCATCACCACCAGTGTCTATGCTCATGGGAGAACTTTCCTACACACCTACTTCCTGTCTCAGCATCAAATGTCTACATCTCTGTCTTATTCTCATTTGTTCCTTAATTAAATGTCCCCTAATATGAAACTTTTACAGATAACATAATTATTTTTTTCTTACATCAGTTCCATTGCATCCTGGGGCCCCTGTGGGTCCCGGAGGCCCTTGTAAACCTGGGATACCCTGTAAGAAAATTATTAATTATCTATTAATCAGAAGTTTTAAAAAAAGTAAGAAGCATCTATTTAAATGCTGGAATATACATTTACACAGTATGAGGACAAGACAACTCACTGGTAAACCATGAGACCCAGCAAATCCTTCTTTGCCCTCAGGTCCCTGTAATGACATTGTACTTTTCAAACAACAAAACAGGTGCAACAGAATGGATACCCGGTCTACTATAATGCACATACATGTATTATGCACAACTGCATTCCAGCTCAAGTCAATTTTAATCCACTGAGACATGACTCAACACCAAACAGACAAAAGCAAGGACAACACAGTTACAGTATGTTACCGGATCGCCTTTTGGTCCCATGTGTCCATCAGACCCTGTGTTGCCCTGTCAAAGACAATATAATTAATCTTATGATTAATTAACATGATTTGAATCAGTGTTGACATCTTATAATAGTTTGTGTTTTGAAGTCAAACAAGAGAAGACATAAGAGCCCGCTTTATATTTTACCTTAGCTCCCAATGGCCCAGCATGGCCAGTTGGTCCTGGACGGCCATCCACTCCTGCGGGACCTGAAACTCCTGGTAAACCTTTGTCTCCCTGTGTGTGTGTGTGTGTGTGTGTGCGTATTTATGAAAGACAAATAGACAGAGGGACAGACAGATGACAAATGAGATATAATTTTAAAATTGTACATTTACACGTCAGTGATTAATTAGTGACTTCGTTTATGACCTAAGATATCAGAATGTATGCAGAATTTGTAGACCATTAAAGAGTGTGAATTGTTTATACATTAAATTGGATCCTACAGTAAAATAATTCAAAATAAGACCTCTGCTCTCTGGAAAATAATATGTTAAAGATGATGAAACACACTTATTTAAATTATTTAGACAGCAATGTAAAGAGAAGTAGATCTAAAACAGCAAAAGCTAAAAGTAATTCACATTTAGTTTGATTAGGGAACAGTTGATGCACTCACCCTGCTGCCTTTCACGCCTTCACAGTGGCACCTTGATTTTCTACCGCACACACACTAAAAAGAAATTATAACATTATTCAATATATATTGTCTGCATGGAAAACATGCCTGCGTTTTCTTACAATTAAAATGTGCATTTTGTTTCTGATTTACTAATGTATGTCCAATTTTCTTTTTTACACTTGCATAATCTATATCATAGATTGTGTGTTTTATGTTATTATTATAAATTTGATTGTTTTCATGTCAGCCATTACTGGTTTCTACCAGACCACACACGTATTTTCAACATTTTATTTATGTGATTTGTATTTATGTTGTGTAAAATAAACTAAATAATAACACCAACCAATACACACAAATAAGATCTGTTCCTCCTCTGCTTAATGCTTGTTTTGCTTAGTTCAAGTGTTATGTCTTACATATACCACTTACTCCATGACCTTCCTTAAAAAAGGCCCACCAACATGGCCCACATGAAAAATACTGTACACACTTAACTACATGTGCAGACCAACCGTAAACAAATCCATCTCTTTTTGGCACAAGATGTTTGCAGATAAGCTCAGACACTGCAGTTACAAACAGACCTTTGTGTTGTATATGAGAGCTGAGGCAGTGATGAATGAACTGCTCTCACATTATACACAACAGGAAAATACACATAGTGCTAGAAAAGGATGCTACGCTTCTATTAATAGTGATTTTTGTGTGAGATCTGGGTGAGTGGGTTCAAGTTCAACAGCATTATTAAGTATTTAAAAGGTTTATACATTACTGACATCTGCTTAAAATGTAAAAAAACATTTACACATTTACACAGAATGTGTGTTGAATATGTAATGATATGTATGTATATATGTATGTATGTATATATATATATATGTATGTAATGGATGTATATTCATGTTGTGACAACCTCAGCATCTAACTTTCCTAAGACTTTCAAAGAAATGGCTAGCATCACAAATAAGACTACACAATATATAAATAGAATGAAATAAAAGCAAAACTTAAAAAAGATCAGCACAATGTTTTGTTTCAGTGCTGCAGGCTGAATGAAATCATATTATTCTCAGTTAAAGAAAAAACAAGAAGCTTCTTACATTTTTGGCCCCGGTGCCCAGCAGCATCACAGCAAACACGATCAGAGGGACTATGAGCAGTGGCCTCCCCATGGCTCGTCTCGTTTCAGTCAAATCAGAAGTTCGGGAAGTATTTGCCGACAAACCAGAGGTGATGAGTGTTTCAGAGCATCCTCCTGCAGTGACTGGCCTTCAAAGCACACACCCGCATCCTGCTGCAACACGGACACTGTCAGGTTATCGCCTCAGTTCAGATCAAGGTTGCCACATGTGGGCGCCTTGATAGACAGAGATGTTGTTTAACTTAATTCTGAAGTGGAAGGAGGTCTGAGCTCACTGATGCAGCCAACCACAATCATCATCCTTCTCCTCATCTCACAAAGAGAGGCAGCTACACTGTGTGCTTTCTACTGATACTGAGGCAGGACATTAGGCTGACTCTTCTCTCAGATCGTCCGGTTTGGAACTCACTGAAAGCTTTATGAGGATAATTTCAGCATCTGAATCTGGGTGAGTTGTGGATGTTGCTTTATGCGCACGATAGACTATCATCAATAGATGACATTGGTATAAATGCAATGCAAAATTTCTCAGTGAGTAGCATAATTGTTGAAATATAAGTGTTTTAAATATCATAAATGCATGTACGAAATTTAATCTTAAAGGAAGTCTTTCTTTATATAATGTTAACTGGTCCGTGGTTCACAGGTGTCTTTGCTGTGTCATGCTTCCTTTTATCCCCCACAGGGGGCAGCACTGAGGTCAACACTCACTTGTGAAGCTGACTGATGAGAGATGAGATCCTCTCTTACTGTAGTGATGCTGTGCAGGTGAGTCTCCATCTGTAGCTGCAGCCATATCTGATCACTACTGATAACTTTTTGTGATTTAACTGTTTTCTATGATATCCCCACATCAGACAACATAGACTGGTGTGTGTTTTTAATTTTCTTTGTTAAAATTTGTCATATGATTTTATCAGGAAAGTAAAGTTTTTGGTGTAGAACAGCAAAGAGTTGAACTAATATAATTATTTTCACTATAGTAATATGGAATGTCACATAAAGCCAAATGGAATTCACATCAACCTCTCAGCAAATCTATTTACCTGAAGGCAAACACACTTCATGCATGTTTATTCAACATGTCTGAATACTTGCATTCCAACATGTAGCCTCTGTATAAAAACTGACCTCCACATTCAGAGATGCACACGCAGGTGCATCCTGGGGCCACCAGAGAGTTTGAGTCAACAAAATTCTTGCAGCGCTGTGAAGTGAAGCACATAAGTTCTCATGCACACAAGAGTAAAAAAACATGCACCACATGTACAGTGATTTATCATGTGGAATTGCCTTTTTAATCTTCTGTCCTCATATTGTGTTTGCATCAGTTGGTTGCTGGAGGTAATCATCAAACGTTTTAGATTGCACTATGCCTTATGTTCTTGGAGCTGGGGCTAAATGAGGCTGCAGTTAATCTATTAAAATTGGGATTCACAGGTGGATCATTGTGGGGTTCATCTTCGTGCAGCAGCTCAGTGCAGTAAGTATTTCCTTTTTTATTTATTAATACGCCAACCAAGTTAAAACGTGTTAAAGGTACAGTGTGTAGAATATTTTGACATCTAGCGTTGAAATTGCATGTTGCAGCTGAACATCCCTCACCTCACCCTCTCCTTCCAAACATGAAAAATAACCTGTGGTAGCTTCAGTTGT